CCTTTACAGCTCCTTCCAGTTGTTATTCATTCTTTTCATGTCTGCTTCGATTTCCCGACGTTATGTGTTCTTTGGCCTTCCTCTTCTCCGCTTCCCTTCAGGATTCCAAGTTAGGGCTTGCCTCGTGATGTAGTTTGATGATTTGCGTAATGTATGTCCTATCCATTTCCATCATCTTTTCCTAATTTCTTCAGATGGAAGTTGGTTTGTTCTCTCCCAGAGAAGGCTGTTGCTGATAGTATCCGGCCAATGAATGTTGAGTATCTTGCGTAGACAACCATTTATAAATACTTGTACTTTCTTGATGATTGTTGTAGTAGTTCTCCAAGTTTCAGCTCCGTACAGTAGAACTGCCTTGACGTTCGTATTGAAGATTGTGACTTTGATATTGGTTGAAAGTTGTTTTGAGTTCCATACATACTTGATTATGATTATACATTATTCATTATTATTAAACATAACGTAATTTTTTTAAGACTGTAAACGTTGAACATTTACATCTTGTCTGACTGACATTAAAAATAGTTAGGTCTATAACAAAATTTAAATGGACTTACCTTCAAGTAGTTAAGTGACCTTACTGTTAAATTCAGTTCTTTTTTTAAGCCTAGCAGCAATAGTAAGGCGCTTTTATATTGTATTAGTACAAATGCCTTGGAAATCTAATTTCGTATAAAAAAGCCTTTAAAACCAATTTAATTATGATATGCAACATAGATTTACAGTGAAAGGAATGGGGAAATTTTCCAATATTATGCATACTATTTAACTTGTTTTAAAACCATGGGTATAAATAAAATGAATTCAAAAGATGATTAAACTACCGGATCAACGGCAAAGTTTATTCAATATAGCCTTTATTTCTTATCCATGGCATTAAGGCACTGCAAGAGTTACTATGATCTATATGATAAGCACTTGGCCGCTATACCAATCTGTTTAAATATTTCAAAATAAATGTATCAAACAGTTGGATTCATCCTTCATGAGCATGAAAGTCGAATGAGTTAAGCTTGAATAAACAACACACCCATTTATGTTAAAACTCTATATTATCATCAATTACTTCCTACTATATATTAAATTATTTTCGCCAATTTTATTCTATGAAAATGATTAAATTTTTTAGAGTTTGATAAGTACTAAAAGCAGATTATCTCTTCATTTAAAAATAAAGCGCGTAATTGGATTCCTTTCTTGATTATACACATACCTACATATCATTTAGTTGATAATGATATTTCAATTTAATGTTTGAAATTATGATCAATGTTGGCCAAAATAAATGAACGCATTGATGTCGTGTTATGAAATGGTTAAGTTCTAAATTGAAACTTAAATTCAAATCCATTAAATTAAGTAACATTCATCAAAATGATTGTATCTTATCTAAAAATTTATCTTATGAAAGTACATAAATCACAGTAAATGAATAATGATACTTCAGTATGCCTTAGCTACTTGACAAAACTCTTTTCTTTCCATTTATGTAATAAATATACCTCATTCTTTGTAATTATGGCCCAAAAATAATTTTAATTCTATACAAAGACTTGAATTTCAACAATTATAATCACATGTTATGAATATGGTATGAATAACAAAAACAAAATGTCTCACAAGACAGATAGAAACAAGCCAATTATCATTCACGTGAAAGTAAAACATGCAATTTAATGTAATTGATTTAATTTGATTTTGATACTCTTATAAAAATTTGGTAAAATTAGATTTTATATTTAAGATGAATTAAATCACCTAAATTATTAATGAGATAAAATTTGAACAAGCTAAATATTATCAGCATAAATTATACTTAATAAAGAGTCTGTGAATCGTTATGAACCTCCTATACCTTTGTAGTGAACAGGAACACCAGTGGGGACAACCAAATGTATCTGACACAAAATTACAGGACTTGTTAATAAAATCTAATAATCACAAAGTAAATGATTAATTTGCAAAATGTCCACCAATTGTCTCAAAATGACTCAGAATTCATTGTTCTTGCATTTTCATACAAATCGCATCCTGTTTCCATTCTTTACTGCTCGATCCTCTTGTCTCTCTACTGTCAGACCTTCTTTTCACGACTAACATCATATACTACTTATATCAATATAAGTAGCACACACCATACTTCTTCTAGAGTTCCTGTCGGTTCTTTATCAATCTGGTGAAATAATTTTAAAATTCTCACTAAAACCGCTGATAATAGTTTGATATTTACAAGAAAAATATACTTTCCAGTCTTCTTTTTTTCCATCTGGGTTATCCTTTGCATCTAAAAATGATGACTCAAGTTTATTTATTCATATTTCAGCTCTAAAGACAATTATAGTTTGAACGTATACAATTTCAACTTAAAACTTCATTCATGTCCAAAAAGTAAACACAATACATTTAAAATGGTATTATCGAAAATAAACTGAGTTACACAGTGTAAATAAACACACATTACAAACAGTATCATTGTAATTCATTAAATAAATAGTACCAAAATTGATATTTACAATCATAAATGATAGATAATAACTTATTATTGATTAATCATTTATATGACTAAATTATATAATAAATCAAAATCTCATAGTAAGTGTTTATAAACAAAATCCAACTGGTGATAAAATTGGTTATTTTTAGAATGTAAATTAATATTAACATTTTATAATGTGATGTTTGGATACAGATAATCAGTATGCTGAAATATAATATGATATTTAGTGGAAATACAATTTACACTTTTTAGTATGTTTACTTAGTAACCAGAAATACATTGGATTCAGTTATGAATCATTCAATCTGTTCTATTCTTTAACTTAAATCATCTTTTTTGAAATATTTCTGAAGGACTTTTAAACTATTTTGTGATCCGAAGATTGAAACAGAGTAACTTTCCACTCATTTAGTTAACATTGTTAATCATTTTAATCGTTGAGAAATTCCCGTCATATTAAAAGCATAGTGTTGTGAATGAAGAATATTCTTTATAATCATCATTTGTCAGCTGGTTCTATAGTTATAAATCTGAATTAATGTTTCAAAATAGACAGCTAAATTTTAAATCGATTACATTACTTGATTAAAATTAACTAATTAATTAAATCTAAGATTGTTGGAGGAATAAGGTAATTTGTCAATGTTTGTTGAACGTTCTAGTGCGAACTATTTACATCAATCGGTTGACAGGTCAACTGAACTTATGATATGATTGATAAATATGTATATAGATATACTGATTAGTGTTGAAATGACGAATGTGTAACGATAATTTGAATTAGTTCATAGGTCTATAGAAATTGTGAGACTAATAATTAGAATAAATACAGATAATGTAGGGTGAGAAAAGTAATCATGTGAACACAAACGTTTATCTAAAGAAATTGTACAATACCATGGTGAGTTTTGAGTTAAGTACTTTCTATGAGGACTAGACAAAAAGAATGAATAGTATGGTAAGGTCATACTTGACAAAAAGTATGTTTAGAAAATCGTGTAGCAGTGACTAGACTATCGGGTTACCAGAAATGAACCTAAATGCGAAGTTTTAGGTAAGGAATGTAAATCATTTATTCTGGTTTTAACCATTCACAAACTTGGATACTTGTGACCAGTTGTTAGTAATGCCGTCCTACCACCGACATAAGCATGTTGCTTTTATTATAGTTAAATGTCAGACAGAAATTAATTTGCTAAAGGCTCTCATTGTGTAAGTATAGAGTTACTAGTTAGGGCTCTTTACATATAAGTTAAATACGCTAACTAATATATCTCAAGACCAACTAATATCGCATAGCCACTCAACACTTAAATTTTATTAACCAATTAGCACTTAGCTATTCAATATTCATTTGTCCGACAAGATATCATATATTTTTTTAAATTTCGTGTTGATTTTCTCAAAGTGAAGCATAATGACTAAAATCGACACATCTCTCGTGGCTTCGAAGTTTGATGTATTTTACGATTTACAGATCAAAAATGGGCTATTATTTTTTTTCATATAATGAAGCCAGGGGCCATCTCATCTGACCTTGATCATGTCACGACAGTTGAAAATGTAAGCATCTCCAGTGAGTGAATAAGAACACAGAATATAAAAAAAAACAATTACCTTAAACTAAATCTTCAGACGTAACTCTAATATAATAAATATACTTTTATTACATCCCCATGAATACAAACATTGTATTTCTGACATTTCGCGACTTAATGTAAGGCACTTCTTCAGAGTAAATAATAACTGAATTAAACTAACACAAGCTTAAATAGTACTCTTTAATTTTAGTGATTCATTTTCCCCGAAGAGATGGCTTACATTAAGTCACGAAGCGTCAGAAATACAATTTTTCTACTCATCGCGCTATAGCAAGAATATATTTACTATTAACTCCCTACACAACAGTCGGTTTATTTGAAACTATCAAGTTCAACCTTGATATCGATACCCAGTAACTCTAATATACTGCAATATTTATATGCATATACGTAAAACATCACATTAATCAAGGCAGTTTGATAAGTGTGTTCCGCAATTGGTAAGGAATTGGCAATACAGTAACACTTATACATACACAGCTTTAGCTGTATGTTCGAATTAACCTCGAGGAAGACGTTTGAGGTAGAGTTAAAAACAATACCATTCGGTTAAATAAACTATGAAGCATTTTACGGTTTTAGAAGTCAAACTCCAAAAGAGATTCTAGATTTCATGACAACTTCACGCCCGAGTTCATCTAGTATAAGTTTCAAAATGTTCCAGGTAGTCAACTTATATTTTGACGCAACAAAGAGCTACTAGAATCTCCGTTGATTTGATAGTCTGGACTTTATCTTCATAGAAGTAATCGCGCAAACAGCAAATTATCCCAATATGCTAGTAGTAATATGATTATTTAGCACTCAAAAGGAAAAATAATATGTAAGGTAAGTAATAATACTGAGTCACTGATCCAACTATAAATATACAGCACAACTTTAGCAAAAAAACTATTCTTAACAGTTCCTTGAGTTGACTTCAGCAAAGTTCTCTCGCCTTAGTGAATTTTCTTATCAACCAACACGGAAGCTGACCGCTGAGTAACACCTCGTCAAGCATATTTTCAAATATTAGTCCTAATGCCATTTGAATGCCTTCAAATTTATCAGACACCAGTTGTTGAGTGATGCCTTTCTGATATAAATAAATAAATTAAAGTCACTTATGATAGCTTATTTACAGTATTCAGATGAAATGATTCTACTCAAAAGTAAAAAAACAGATAATCAATTAATTACGTACTAATCAATGGTATTAGAACGATATATATATTTAGATAGAACTATGTTCATTTTAACATCTTTTCATATATATTGTCCATATTATATTAAATGGGTTTAAAACTAAAACACAATGTATATTAGCATGAATGTAATTTACACATAATGTATTTCAGAACGTTCACTTCAATGGAAAGAAAAATAACTGAACACACGCACAACAACAACAAAATAATGATACTTTACGGCACAATATCCCTGGATGATGAAAACATAATAAGAATAAGAATAAATAGAACTATAATGAGACAAAAAAATAAGCAATCTGAAATATTAATAATGATGTTGAGCCAAAAGTAAAAAAAAAGAAAAACTTTTATAAAATAAGCCAATAAAAATAAGTTTATTTAAAAAAAAACAAATAGCACACAACAGAAACAAATTGTAAAATGATGTAATCATTTGACAGATTGTAAGTAATATGATAGTTGTCATAAAACCAGTTCAGTTGATAGATCATATACAGCTCACAGATATTGAAAATAGATTATATATCCCAATATTTAGTGATCTAATCTACATAATCAAATTCAAATGATTAAATCCTCTAATGAATTTAAACTTCCAGACAGTGTGGATTGAACAAATGATCTAATATTAGGGAATAAGATTAAAGAAAACAATTTCTAAGGATTATTTAATAAAAGAGGGAAATATTCTAATGGAAATATATTTGCTTTCAAATACATAAGTAGTTGTCATTTGAAAGATAACTGGAATCATTATTATATTATATTGTAATAAGCCTTATGTCAAACATTTTTAATATAGCCATTACCCCGCGTAGAAACAATGCAGAAAACTAAAAAGCATTTCATAAATGTACGATTGTTTTTAACTGAGCTGGTTCAACTTCACAAATCCAGTAGTGAATGTTTCAGCTGTCTAGACCATTGTATCCACCCTTAAAATTACTCAGTAATCCACTGATACACTAGCAGTGTTGTAAAGTCATTTATGTTCAAAATTTCACACATAACCTACGCTTGACGATGAATTACAGAAAATTTATAAAGTGAATCCTTTATAACAGTTAATGAATTTAGTTAACTAAGACTTTTTAATAAGAACAAACAAAGTAATTCCTAAGAGTTGGGAGAGAGCAATTTTGACATATCACATTCCGAGGAATAGAATCTCTTAGTTTGGGACTTCAACTGATGTTTTCCAAAAACAAACAGTCGCTAGTACACTTTCTAAGCAGATGATTTAAATAAAAAATCTTTCCAGTTGCGAGTCGGAAAACGTTTGAAATGTAATCTTGAGTTCATTTAAACTTTTCCATTGTGGGTTTTGATGTTTAACTAAGTGACTTGCGAAATTTTTAAAACAAACCTGACAGATTTCAGTGTAACCTGGTGAGAACATTATTCAGGTAGAAAGTAGTTGTTAGATAGTGGAAAGTTGTATACCACGATTTAACCAAGCCGTTAGTTATTTTGAAAGGTTACTCGAAATTTTTCAAAGTCTACATGTAATTATCGGCTGCAATTCAAACAAAATGTGTACAGTTTACCTTTTAGGAAAAATATTTTCGCTTTTTCAATCGTGCGATTGATATATAAGGCATGAAAACTACGGAGAATTAAATCTCCGTCAATGAACTAACTAGATTATTGTACAACAATATATACGATTTCCTAGTCGGAAATGAGTGAGTATTATACTAAATGGACAATAAGTGCGTTTTTCGTTTGAAATCGAATATGAAATGATATTAAAATTATTAAATCAAGCGCCTAAGAAAGTGGTTTCCCGAATTCCAACTACTTAAACCCTTCACTGTAACCACTGACCATTCATCTGAAACATGTTTTCGGTAAATGAACTAGATATCTCACTAGTTTATTCAATAAATAAAACCAGCCGTAACTAAATTTATTTAACAAACCTAAGAAGAATGTATCATTTTAAAATCCTAGATTTTGCTTCTGCTTACAGAGTGCAGCAATATTTTTACGTTGGAATTAACATTGTTTTGGGAGTCAACAAGGATTCGATCGTTGGTGTTTTCAGTCCCATTTGTTTCAGAAATTCATTTACCTGTCAAATATTCCTTGCAAAATTCATTACTGTCATTATTCCTTGACTTAAATATTATGTGTGCATAAATTATTAGATTATTGCGTTGCTTATTCTGATATTAACAATGAACCCATAGGCAACTTCATTTCGATAATTAAACACTTCAGTTATCAGCCAAAGAAATTAATTATATTAAGATACGTGTTAAATGAACTGATCAAACAATGTTATTTCATATATTAAGCATCCTGTACTAAATATCTTAATTCAATTTGTTCCAAGTTAAATATATTAATTCCTCATACATTAAAAAACGCTAGTAATACGGTGAATGCTACTTATGTTTATAGACATAAGTAGTATGTGACACCAATCAGAAGTGGAATGACTGGTAGCAAAAGGTTGCGAAGATGGAATTGAAAAGAACGGGTTGTAAACAGAGAGTAATTGTAATAGCGATGAAGTTTGAGACAATTCATGGAAGATTTGCAAATGAGGCATTTAATGTATGGTTTTTGACATTTTACGAAAGAACTCTGTAATTTTGCATTGTTCCCACCTGAGTTTTCGTCCACTAAAGTACTTACGTAATAATATCCGGAAGATCTGGTGCTGTGTGAATAAAATTATGTCGGTAACCAAGTTTGCCTTCGTACGGCTTGAAGAATACTGAAGTACCATTAGTTGAAAGAATTTCAGCAAGCTATAGTTATTTGTTATTATTCATAAAAGTAATAGTTCAACACAGAAAGATTCAGGTCAATATCAATAAAGAACTGTTATGATAAAGAGAATTAACAATACTTTCAAAATATTTCGCCTTGGAAATTCAGGTGAATATGGCAACAGAAACGTAGTTTTCCCTTTGTGACTGGCTTTTATTACACAAATTCTTGAAACAATGTTTACCTGGTTTCACCAGTGGTAGTTATTTTAAATTTCCTCAAATGCCTTAGTAAAATCGGTGTAAAGAGTTCTCTTCTACTCATTAAATATTGTTAAATGACGGAGTGTTTATTGTCTGTTCACGATAAACTCTACCTCTGGCTTCACACAAGATAGATATTCATGCAAATATATACAGTGGATTGGTGTACATGAAAGGTTTATCTGGTAGGGAATAGAATAATCTTGATATCAAATTAATGGCACATTATGTGCTGAAACCAGAGATGATCAGAAAAAGCCTGAAGATAGTCAGTGAATGACATGGCCTGCTTGAGCATCTGGGCTACCTGTTCCTGCCATCTAGATATTTCAACAAGTTATCTGTTTTAGTTTGTTTTAATATATCATTATGTTTATTAATCGCATAACCTATTCTGCTGCGTTTCTGAAAAGTGTACAACCTTTCGTTGTCAAAGTTATAAAAAACTCAATAAGAGACAATGTGGTTGCTGGCAATATACAACGAAAAGAATGCACATTATTCAGATGTTCATTCACTGAACTGCTAACGTCTAACTGGCGATCACTCAATATTTATCGCCAGGATCGACCAAGAAGAAAGAAACGGAAACTTGTTGAAATACTTTACGCTGAGAATTCTATATTGTACAAAAAATATAATATTGAATAAAGCTGATGATAATAATAATAATAATAAAGCCATGGTACGAAATTTATATAGGACTAGCATCTGTAAGTCGGTTACGACTTTTCAATTGTAACCCAAGAGATCATCAATCTCAGTGGTATGAGATGCTATCAGACATGGCTCAGAACTGAAGCTGGAGAATCCTTTCCGTAGTTTTCTAGTAAATTCTTCGCATGTATAAAGTGAACCTTATCTCGATTGTATTATTTATTGAAAAGTATGATTTATTGATTACTGTATTTATTTACTTATTGATCAAACGATTTCTTTCCACTTTTTTCTATTTACAATATTTAATTTCCACCTTGTCTAGCATATTCTTTTCGTACAGTATAGTGTGAAATATTTATATTATAAATGCATAATATCAACACTGTCAACCACATTATTTTTTACTGAATCATAATTAAAGCATTACTATCAGATCTTAGGTGAAATTTAAGTTATTTTTTACAGATACTACTTTTGAAGGATTTCTTCAATTCGTGAATCATAATGACAGATAAAAGCGTAGACATAACAGATAAATTCATGCTCTACAATGGTAAAATAACTAATGAAAACTTTTCATGGTGATAAAAGAACCAATAACTTTGAGTCATAAGACCTTCGATCATATTTATTCAACTCTTCCTTAATTTATATCTTTTATCAAATCTCAAAATCAGAACTAACAAATTTCGTTAATGAATGATTTCGACAAAAAAAATACATACATTGAGTGATTAACAACACTCGAGTAAACACAATCAAAACCCAGTGTAGTTATCTTTTTTCTTTTCCGAAAATCAACAAATAAATATGAATTCGTTAAGTATTTTATCAAATGCAATTGTTATAATGATTACCTTTTTTCCTAAAGTGAATGGTACAACAGCATCATCTTCAGCGTGTAATATTATTATCGGAATGGGACAATTTATTAGACTAAAAAATATAAAATAAAAAGCCTTCAATCATAAATGTTATAATAAATGTATGTCAGAAATCAAAGCTAGAACGTTTTACTTAATATGTAATATGAATTTTTGTTTAGTTTTGCTTGCAGATAGGTATGATGGTCATTCAATAACCACATGCACTTCCATCTGTGACCATTTTCTTTACAACAATATCCTTAAACCATAATGAAACTTTTGACTTCTTAATTCTTGGTTGATCACATTGAGACCAATTTACTCTTTTATTGCAGTGTTTGGAGAGATTTCGTCATAGACTAATGGAGAACTAGGAAATTCTTCAACATTGGCCACTCAAGACCCCAGCAGGTATCGGACACACAACCGTGATAGCTAGCAACGAAAACTGAGCATTTATACTACTGAGTTAAAATCTATCTATTCACTAGAATCGATTTGTGATATAACCCAACAATTAATCAGTCTCATTAGTGAATAATTGTTTTAGTTTAGACATGGTTGAACTTAGCCAGTTACCGATTCTCGCTACAATTTCCAGAATTCGTCACCAGGTCGATTACTAATCAGTGCATAATTACTGTTTGGTTAAAGGATTTATTGAAATATAATTGGAGATAAAGTTAGTTTCTCATCAGGTTCTACAATTATAAATCCAAATAATCCATAAAATTGACCAGATTTAGAACAGAGTACATCATTTGGAAATTGTAATATGTGAATCAAGAATTGTTTGTTATATAAATAAAATCGTTAATATAGTGAATATTCCCATTTTGCCATTTGTTAAATAAAGAAGGAACGAATTGAGCGAAGAAATTTCTTTTCAATTAGTTTTTCATCATGGCTCTACACTAATATATATACGTTTTACAATAATAATATAATACTCATCGAGTGGATACGTTACGTACAAAAAACATTCAATGCTGCCAGATTAAATGCAATCCTCTACAACTATACTAAGATAAGAACAGCCAACAAAGACAGACTGCCTGAATTCGCTAAATCTATGTGTATCTATCGTTTCAACTGCTCCTGTGGAGCCAGTTATATTGGGCGTACAATTCGGCAAGTCCGTCATCGCATTACTGAACATCATCCGTCGTGGTTAAACATAGGACAGGTAAAAGTGATTAGAAGTTCTATTCTCTCTCACTTGGTTGACACAGGTCATCAAGTCGAATTTAATAAAGCTTTTAAGGTTACCTACAATATCCCATCTAATTTGCCACATGGTTTATGAGTGCGCCTCTTGCACATTGCGGAAGCCATCGCAATCCATGTTCACAAACCTGACCTTTGCATTCAAAAGAGATTCATACAACCACTTTCCCTGCCCTGGCCATCAGTTTAAGATTTCCTTCAAAAGAACTATTTTTCATACTTCTTCCATTTTTTTTTTAAAACTTTCGTAATTTTATTTCTGTTGCTTTTGAACTTAATAACTTCTCAACATTCATCTCTTGATTCTTACGTAACTACCATCCCATTGACCATCCGTTAAAATTCTGTTCCTTCTTTGTTTCTTACATTACGCAACTTAGCAACTTCTTGATCACTTTGAATATTAATAATCCTCTTTCTTCCAATTAATCAATGTTAATTTAAATGTCATTATGTAATTATTACGTAACGTATCCACTCGATGAGTATTATATTATTATTGTAAAACATATATATATTAGTGTAGAGCCATGATGAAAAACTAATTGAAAAGAAATTTCTTCGCTCAATTCGTTCCTTCTTTATTTAACAAAATTGTTAATGTTGGAATGACTAATATGAAGTGTTAACTTGAATCAGTTTATAAGCGAAATGAAATTGTGAGATAAATTATCAGAATAAATATTCTTCGTTCATACAATTGTGTTTTAATATAATGGGAATTTTTCAGCGAATAAAGTTAGTTTTTGTCATAAATAGAAATCAACTGAATTGTGGATGTAAACTCTTGATAAATGAATAATGGTTTAACAGAAACTAGCATTTGTTTTTTTTTTATATTTAATTATCCATCATGATTAAAGTTTTTTTAGTGACATAAAACTTGATTCATATTATCTATTACGATTGCATACATGTAAATCTTTAATGAACAGTATGAGTACAGTGATGATAGGTGATAATCATTGTATTGTTTTTATAAAATCGAGTTAAATAGAAATATAATGCAGTCCTATAAACCTAAAATATAGTCAATCATATGCTGATTAAATATTACTTTTTATTTGTCCTAAACAATAAAATTGATAATAAACAAACCAATAAATATGATGTTTTAGTTACAGAATTCAACATAAAACAAGTGAAGACTGTAGTAGAAATTTCAAAATACAAACACAATTTGTTATAAACAGAAGCTTGGATTATATATGCAAATGACCTTATTCGATTCAGTATTCATATTATATAATCATTAAATGGTCTCATAAAAATCAATGACAATGGTTAGGTGATTTTCTACAAGCCGTGATTTAATGTTTTAATTATATAATGAAAGAGAATTCACGTACAAATTGTTTTAGTCAGTGATTTACTAAAAACATTCCTTGAAATAATAAGTACTTACAGTGAAAAATTCTATTATTCTCTAATAAATTACAATTTTACTAAATCTGAAATTGAATGTGATTCAACAATGCAGTCCAGACTAGAGTATTCACTTTCGAGTTTAAATGTTTATAGTATAAGGTTTAATGATAGCGTACGATTGTTCAAATTGAAATTTGGATCTGCAATTTAATTTATTGCGAGTAGAGTGATGTAATTACTAAGCATTTTAGTAATTTTGTAATAATGAGTAAATGATATTTACTTAGTCGAACCGAATCTAACGAAAAATATAAATGCTTATTTTGTAAAAGAAAAACGGTAAATAAACAAAATCCCTTACAATTTTTGCAGAACTTCGAAAGTATTTTCCAAACAAAATTCAATAATTACTTTGTATGCATATACAAAACATCAGTAAACAATATGATGGAATATGAAACCATATATGTAAGAACATATTATGTCGTATTGATTGTCATTGAGAAAACTGGACCTATTATTACATATAAGCCTGAACATCTCATCAATAATTACATTACAACCCACTAGATTTATCACTCCATATTCGTGTGTTAAAACATATAAGTTGGGAGCAGCAATCGGACGATATAATCAGGGGTGATGGAACTTGTACCTATATCACTTCACAACCAGTTATCATCAAATGATCCGACAAATACACGGAGAAAATAGTACTAGTTGATAACAAATAACATTATTGAAGCAAGTCATGGGATTTTACCTCAACATATCTTTCAAGAATTTATACGAAAATTGTCAAGGACGGAAACCTTGATCTTTAAGAAACTCAAGTCTCATTAATATGTACAGAAACAATTCATTCTAACTATGAATCCGTCTAGGATAATGTAACAACTCCTTATTCTTTTCATGATATATTATTTTTTCACTACTTCCTAAATTATCACTTTATAGTTGACCTTTTATTTGCGTGACTCTCATTAGCCATTACATACAAATACCTTGAAAGGTATGTATGCCACTAAGATATTTGTATAGCTTGAAAACATTACATTTTCCATATAAACTGTCTTTTCTTAGTACTATTGAAAGTAAACTTTGGACCATATTTCAGACTTTTATTTCCCTGTTTAATCCAGAAAAGTCTGTTCCTTCTGACTAAAATGATCTAACGTTTGAACTAACAAACAAACATGGCATTATGAATGAAATTGACTAAACCACTCATTTTTTTGCCTTGAATTATGTAACAGGTTCAAGCTTCGCTTCACCTACTTACTTTTACTTTAATAGGATTAGTGTTACTACTTGCCGGTTCGAACTCAATCATGCTTTTATTTGATCTCAGTTTCTTGTGATTCAAGCGTTTCTTGATTAACGAAATAAAAGAATATAGGTTGAAACAATACATTAAAGACGTATTTGTGTACTTTTCTGAATCAAAAATCACGTCTCTATGGTGCCGTTGTTTAGCATTATAAATTGAGATAAACTTAGCAATTGTTAAACCAACCGAACGTAAATTAAACTTTTCTATTTTTTAAAAAAGTAAATTGTCATTATTAAACTTTAGTTAATTGATATCACACTATTAAGCTAAAATACAATCTATGGGACATTTGAACAGTGTCAAAATATGCATTATATGCTACTAAGACAAAAATTATATGACCTCAAAGATTACCGATTTGAACAAACTCAATTGTTTTTTTTTTTTCTTTTTAACTTCAATAACATGATATGAAAACAAATTTAATTTATAATAAGAATTCTAATCGATCAGTCTTTTATTCTAATTGGAAGCCAATAATATAAACCAATAGTAATAATAAAAAGGAAAGAATATTTTAACAAACTATATATCACATTGATCAATCCACAACCATTGATATATACAGTGACAAGAAATAACCAGTAATAATTGTATAGGAAAGCTCATTTTAAAACCCCAAGTCAAGATCATTTGTTTAAAAACTTTAGTCTTGATCAATTATATGTTTGAAAGAAAAACAATTTAGGATTCTATACAGCATATACATATTTATCTATTTATTTAATTTATCAGTAGTAGGAATAATAAAGTGACTAGTTGTTGTTAGAATATAGGTGCATTCTATTATTTCCACATATAAATCCCTCAAAACACTGAATTCACTTGTACTATAAACTTAATAAATGTATGTAGTCAATAAACTGATCATTAGGTATTGTATGTCTATTGTCATTAATAAGTTATATATATATAGCTTGTTGAAACTTCCAAAGTGAAAATAGGTCTTATTTAGATTTAAGTAGTGCACCAGTTAGCTATTTCCAGGTAACCCAGCTCGTTCTTTCCCATAGTAGGATTTTGATAATGGTATCCGGTCAACGAACATTGAGTATCTTAAATAGACAATTATTTACAAATACTTGTACTTTTTTTTGATGATGGTTGTGGTAGTTCTCCAAGTTTCAGCTCGATACAGTTGAACTGTCTTGACATTCGTATTGAAGATTCTCACTTTGATATTGGTTCACAATTGTTTTCAGTTCCTAATGTTCTTCAGTTGTAGTGATGCGGCCCTTACTTTGCGAATCCACAACTTCACCTCTGCATCTGGTCTTCCTTGTTCATCGATGATGCTACTAGGTTAGGTACCTGAAAGATTCCATCTCTTCCAGAGTTTCTTCATCAAGTAAGATTGGGTTAGTGTACTTTGTGTTGTATTTAAGGATCTTGCTTATTCTGTTGTGTATGTTAAGGGCCACTGATGCTGAGGCTTCTGCTACACTAGTTGTCCTAATCTGCATTTGTTCGTGTGTATGTGATAGAAGAACTAGGTCATTTGTGAAGTCTAAATCGTCTAGTTGCACTCAAGCTGTCCATGCACGACTGACCCTTACGAAATCCAGCATGTTCAACTCGAAGCTGGACGTTTACTGAATCTTCCATCCGGTTCAGAAACACTCTGTTGAAAACCTTTTCTGGTACCGATAACAGTGTGATGCCTCTACAGTCCTCACATTTTCTCAGATTACCTTTCTTTGTTATCTTGGTGAGTATCCTTTTTTCCTCTTAAATCTTAATGCATAGAACGTGGAGCATCTTGGCAGTTACTTCTATGTCTGACTTCAGTGCTTCAGCTGGTATATTGGCAGGACCTGCTGCTTTTTCACGCTTGATTTGTCTGATGGCCATCCTGATTTCTTCGGTTGTTGGTGGAGTGACATCTATAGGAAGGTCTGTAGGTGCTGCTCCGATGGTCGGTGAATTCAATGGAGCTGGTCTACTCAACAGTTCCTCAAACTATTTTACCCATCTGTTCTTAAATCTCGGTGATTGTCTTGCCTTCCTTATTCTTGGTCGGTCTCTCTGGTTTTCTATATCTTCCTGCTAGTTTCTTCGTTGTGTCATACAGTTGTTTTATATTTCCTTATCTTGCAGCTTTTTCCTCCGTCGTTGCCACTTCTTTCACGTATTTCTGCTTGTCGGCTCTATTGCTCCTCTTCACTTGCTTGTTTGCTTCTGTGTATTCAGATTGTGTTTTGACTTTCTCTGTTCTTTTTCGCCGTCTTCTAGTTATTCTTTCCTTGAATATTGTCCAGAATTTCCACAGAGATCCATTCCTTATGATGATGCTTTTTGCGGCCCAGCACCTCCTGACATGTTGAAGTTAGTGCATATTCGATCCCTTTCCAGTTGTCCTCCATAGTAGTTTCCTCTTCTTTCAGTAAATCCTGTAAGGCTTAGAATCTGTTGTTGAGAGCGATCCTGAATTCGTTGAGTTTGTTAATATCTCGAAGGAAGGCTGTGTTGAACCTTTGTACTGCTGTTTCCTAAGTTGTCCAGTGCTTCTTTAGCTTCATTTCGATCTTGAAGTTGCATCGATGTATATGATTTTATGCTGAATGAATAGAAAAGCTCACTCAGAAAATTCAACTTATTTGAATCAGTACTCATAGAACAGTAATCATTTTAAGGCTTCACAAAACTTGCATTATGAAATTAAATTAAGTAACATAGTGCTTCAAGCTCAGCGTTATCAGCATAATAATTCATTAGTTCCAATTGTTTCAGTTATCTCATCGAGCTTTATGTTTCATAATATATACATATCTTTAAATAGTTGATATGTGCTTCGACTGTTCAAAGTGTATCGCTCTAATACATCATATGGTTATGATAAACTTACCATGATAAAATACCTTACCTTGAATCAAGTTATCAATATTCGAATAAAAAAAGAAAATGATATCAAAATAAAATGTTTAATCGTTTCATTTTGGGTTATTTTAAACAACTTACTTAGACTGTGTATTAAATGACAATTTTACTTTGTTCATAGCCGATACAAATCGTTCTTGTAAAGTTGGCATTAATTGATAAGGCTATAATAAAATAAATTATAATTGTAAAGAAGAAATGGTTAGTAATTAGTGGATATAATTTTGTGATTATTGATTTTGGCTTAGTTTGATATTTCATTATCGTAATTCATTTATATCATAGCTCTGTAATTATATTTCTAATTTAAATCATCACAATAAAAACGTACCACATAATAAAATGAAAATATAAGTCAATCAGTTAGTGTTGATACGACAAATATGATCTACAGATGACAGTAGAACTGAACAAACAACTAATTATTAATTGTTCCATTGAAAAGAAAACTAGGAACTACTACTAGTAAAAATGAATTTTAACATAATGTCTACCAGGATGGTTTGACGTTGCAATGAATTCAATGTTGATAGTTTTCTTTATCCTTCATCAAAAGTATTTCATATGGATATCGATTGCTGTAAGAAATATTCAGTGAGCAAATTCTAATAATTATTAAAATATACCTAACAACTACTATTGATAACGATTTGATAAGAAAAAAAGATATAATTATTATCAAGCATGTCCCAGTCACTTTTTTTCTTTGGATCAACTGAATTATACAGATTTCGTCTCATGTGTTTATTGTATATTCAAAGATAAAGGTCTAAGTATATGAAAAGGCCATAGTATTTATTTAGTTACACAGAGATAATATAAACACTACTTAGTTAATAATCTAAAGGTAAATTAAATTGAAATGTATATTTACCTTCATGAATATTCTGTGATGTATCACATCAGTTAAGCATGTAAATGGGGCATCAAGAATAATACCTTTTGGAAGACGAATATTTGGTAAAGAATCATGCTCTTTATTTAAATGATCCATAAGACAACCGACAACCCTATCAACGAAAAGCATGCACAAAACAAATCTATTATCTAATTGTGCAATTATCAAAGACTGTAAACATAATGTTAGGTTTATTTGCCCTTTACACAGTTGAAACTATTGTTTTAGACTCAAACTGAAATGGAACTTCATCGAGTCGATAGGAATTGTAATTTGAGATAGAGTAGCAAAGTAAATATATGTAATGCACTGCACACGATAAAAATCACTTTTATTTTATTACATATATAGGTTTAAAAGTTAAATTTTCCCAGTTTGTTAAGCTGTTAACCATCCTCTATACTTAATATTACTATCTATATCAAGCTGATCATGCCTGTAAACTAGCATGAATTCTGTAACTATTATTTTCATTACAACATTAACTAAAACAACTAAATGTTATATGCATACCATTATTAGTTCATTTTACTCTTCTTTTTCATTAATTACCAGAGGTTTTGTGAGGCATACGGCTAAATCGAGGCACGTTTGTTTCTTAGAGAATCGCCTTCAACTGTCTGAACTCAAGGTTTAATCGACAAGACGAACACGAAACATCAAGGGATGGTATCCAGGGTTCAAAATGGGTTTGTGTACTATTCGTTCTAAAATCCTGGGACCCATTCGAATTATTGGTTTCAAATACAGATTTTCCAACTTCCTTATATATATTTATCTCCTTTTCATCATAAGCTACCGTTTGACACATTAACTGCTATTGTACGATTTATTATTCTTGATTTATTCCCAACCGATTATTCAGTCTCCCCTATCACAAGCACTTTTAGCTTGATCTTGAATAATTGTTATTTTTCATTTTACTATGTGATAAGGTCTGATCTGCTTTTGCATAAACTACGTATGTTTGACACTTCTATTCATACAGTGGAGAGTGGTTACTGTGCCGTGAACTCAATGGACAGAAAAGGAGGGAATCTACTGTGTCGAAGACCAATCAGGATTTAGAGTTGACTCAAGGCTACAACTAGCGCTGGTTGGCATATTATTGGTTAGCTAAAGGATAAAGTCGTAGAAATCGATATTGATATTCGTCTTATCACGTGATGCTAGATAGGCTCGTAAGTCATAACCAAAACTGCATATCCACCGAACTATCTAAAGCATCAAATATCCTTTTACCCTTGGGGTACAATAAAAGCCACTACAATATAAGGGCAGCAGCAAAAAGATTCTTGGAAAAGGTTACAAAGCCGGAGCAGCACAAAGGCATTTCGAGAGAAATCGTGGACTCTATCCATTGTCAACTGAGCCAGACCCTTTGTGAGAGGATATACACAATCGATTAAAATCTTTTACTACTAGCACTGATAGTAAACATGAAAAATGCTTCTTACCCAGTACCAAGTGAATGACCCCAAAAGAAAATTGGCGCTGAAGGAAACCGTTTACAAACAAATTGAAAAACCGTTAAACTATCCAGTAGACAGTCATTTTCTCCAGTTAATGACCCAGTTGAATCGCCATAACCTTAAATCAACACAAACCAATATTTGAAATTATTCAAAATGTACTGTAATCATACCATATATATTGTATACCAGTTACCAATATTTGAAGGTAACAGAAAACGCTACATAATTAATCTTAATTGTGAATAAGTTCCCTTCGCTTAAATATTATGATAGATATGTGGTTCAGAAAAATACGTTACAAGAGCAAATTCCACTCACTTTTATTAAGTTATTGGATCTACCTCAATTTACGTTTCCTTCAACATACTGATGAGTCACATGAACCTACTAGAAGCTATTTTGTGAATGAAGAACCATAATCGTACAAAAATAGCATATTTTAAGTGTCTATATATCTCTTAATCACTTTCATTTGTAATTTTTAAAGTAATTCAGTGATTATGTTAATCTATCATTAAGATAAGTTATATAAATTCAACAGTTTTAGCTCACAGTACACTGAGATGTAAAACTACCTAACCCCTCAAACAACGTTACATGACCAATACTACAATACCTTTAACATGTAACTTCGATGTAGTATCTTTAGAACAACTGTTAGCCTACAAAAAATATGGGACATTTACATCAACGTGTGGAGCAGTGATTCATTGGTTGACCTCTTAAGAACCTAAATACTTCGGTTTCTTAAGTGAAGTAGAATCAACAGACCTCAACTAAAGAATACGACACGAAAACTGGGCTTGATTATTGAGCTTAATCAGATTAATAGGTTTAAACCCTAACGGCGTAGCATAACTATGCCTTAAACGACAGTAAATGATTGACAAGTTACATTAGAAATCTAATACAGAACATTACCATAAACAAAATATCAACTATAAGATATGCAACTCTCAACTTTTAAGCATAAACCATCTTGGATAGAAATTTCTTAATGGCTTTCAAGAAACGATCGATCTCATATTGAACGATTCTCCATGTGTATTTCAATCAATAAATAATTTTATGCTCATCTAGACAGACACATTTGAACAAATGCTAGGGAAACTAGCCCCACTGGGATTACAACTTGTTGGAAGGATGAAATACATAACATTTAGGCTGTTTATGGTAAATTTATGATTCTTCGGTAGAAACTGCTGCTAGTATAATCGTGAGACGACCTAATATAATAGGATACACATTATTATGAACACAATTCAAAAGAAGTGGGTAGTTTTATCAATGAAACGGTCTACAAAATCATTAATGGAACGAGTATTTGTGAATGTCAGTTAATTTTCAAAAAATTTCTTCGACAAAAATTTCAAAGCAGTTCAGTATTTAATCGAGCTAAACCAAACTTATATAGTAATTTTTATAGATAAGTATTCTATCTTATAAGTTACAGAAAAACGTTATGAAATCCAAGTTGAATTCATGACCTAAATGATGATTATCCATCACTAACTACCATTCAATAAGTAATGAGAAATAATTTTGAGAAAAATTGTATAATATGCAGATAACGTAACACTTTCAAAATCAAACTTCCTAAACAAGTGTATTTATCAGTGATATTTACTGTAAGACAACTGATTAAAATTTCCTTTAAAAAAAACCAAATTTATGGTTAATACCATGTTAACTGCACTATAACAGTAACTACAAAAACGGGATGGAAAATACAGTAAAGATATTATATATAAAGAGAGAGGTTTAACTCAGTAATTTCTGAGATAATTTTACTTTGATATTCAAAGCAATAAGTTAAAAACAAGGAAACATCGTGAATTACACAAGGAAAAGTGACCTTGAGCGTATATATTATGAAGAAACGAGAAATGTGAAACTTCAGTAGCTATTCTTTGATGAATTAGTCTTCATATTTTCACTAACATTTTATTAAAAACAATAGCTGTATGATATTTCTATATAGTTCCAATTATAAACCTTGATTTGATTTATCATTTCCTGTTGTAGCACCTGGAGTAAATCAGATTTTCAATAGTAAAGCCAGAGAAAATTAACAAGAGTTGGTCTGATCGATGAAAAGAACCAATCAGAAAAAACATTCCAGATGAAAAGAATGAAGTCACATAAAACAAAACAAGAATTAATGTTACGTTGACAAATTTGAGTTCTACGAAGAATCAATCCATTTAAATACTTGGAGTCAACTGTGAATTATTTTGTTTAGAAAATCTATTCATAGATAAGATTTTCAAGAAATCTAACAATAAAGCCTGTATTTTCCTATTTAGTTCGAATTAACAGTTAGTGGTTTCACAAACTGATGTCAATAACTTCAAAAATTTACTAAGTGTAATATAAATAAATAACATGAACTGGACCACGATTCTTAAACAGATAAAGAATTTGATAAATCAGCCAATCTTTACTTATTATGTCTACATTGTGAACAGTGTTAGTTGCCAATAAGCCAAATTTACGAAGACTTCATATATACTGTTGTAGTTAAGGAATATCTCTCCCAAATCCTACGACTAATCGAATCATATAACGTTTTTACTATATCAACTGAAGTATTCAGCAAAAAGAACTATTAGCTTTTTGCTGCATACACAAGTTCGATCATACGATTCACTGATATTAGGAATCATAAAATTTAAATCCTGTAGCTAAATATGTATATCTATAGTCATTGATACTCTATTTAAGTTCACAGTGTCTGTATCTATAATGTCAGTAAAAATTCCCCATGAAAAGTAAACAGACAAAAATTATGTAAGGCTTGGAAAAGATAACTTATTAATTCACATCACAGTTTTAAATAAATAATACGGTGAGTGGAATCCAATGTAATAAATGCTAAAGAGAAGGAAGAAACAATAAGCAAAGGTGATGAGTAAATGGATATTATTGACTGACAGATGAAAAATCGGACGTGGAACTGATTCAAGATCGTATTATCTGAATTCACAAGATATAGACTGTCTATCGAATTCTGATCAAGAAGCCTAAGATACTCCGCATAACTTAATGGAATTGACAGAGATCTTCATGTATTGATGTTATGCTGTGGTTTGAGAACCAATTTAATGCTATTGGAGCTAGAATGAAATATTGGGATAGAGAGTAGTTAGACAAATAAATTAAGGAGAACTAAGTGATTACGGGTGGAGTACATGAGTTAAAGATGTACAGAATCATGTTTCGTTTTTAGAGATCCATAAACAACTGAGCTCTTAGTATATCCGAACGAAGAATAATAACTGCTAGGAGTTATTTATAAACTACTATTACATATATTCTCCCCGAATAACTAATATATGACTAGACTACATGTATATTTGTGTTCGTTTTATCATAAGCCTTCACTTGACCTATTGGTTACTGTTATACAACTATTCTTAACTTACTCCCAATTTATAAAAATCTTCAATACGAATGTCAAGGCAGTTCTACAGTACGGAGCTGAAACTTGGAGAACTACAACAACCATCATCAAGAACGTACAAGTATTTATAAATGGTTGTCTACGCAAGATACTCAACATTCATTGGCCGGATACTATCAGCAACAGCCTTCTCTGGGAGAGAACAAACCAACTTCCATCTGAAGAAATTAGGAAAAGACGATGGAAATGGATAGGACATACATTAAGGGAACTATCAAACTGCATCACGGGGCAAGCCCTAACTTGGAATCCTGAAGGGAAGCGGAGAAGAGGAAGGCCAAAGAACACATTACGTCGAGAAATCGAAGCAGACATAAAAAGAATGAATAACAACTGGAAAGAGCTGTAAAGGATTGCCCAGGACAGGGTTGAATGGAGAATGCTGGTGAGCGGCCTATGCTTCTTCACGAGGAGTAACAGGCGTAAGTAAGTATTTATAAGGTACAGTATTCCATACAGCCACTTTTGGTTTGATGAAGTATAATTATTATTTTTAATTTTATGATATGATGCGGTCTGATTTGCTTGTATACAAACTATGCATATCTGAAATATACGATAGACACATTGGAGGTTGATATTTGTGTTCTGGACAGAACGGGTTGGGTTAGGCGAGAAGTTACTATACAGAGGACCAATAAGGACTTAGAGTTGACACGAGGCTGCTAGTGCTGTTTTGATGCATCATTGGTTTAGCACAAGGGTAATGTCATAGAAGTCGGTATCCTGATTGGCGATTTTGTCACGTGATATTTGACGGGGCATGTGACATAACAGTACTATGTTGAATAATGATTGGAATTGTCATAATATACTGTCTATACAGCACTTATTATGTAACAACATCACATTTATGAAAATTAACATTTCTTACATTAGTATGCGTAAAAGTGATCATATATCGTACAATCATTTACTATGACTAAAACATATATTTCTTACTAAATTGTGCGTTTAGCTTGCATAACTTACGTTTTGTTTGTGAAATGTTTAGTATTTACTATGTTTGGAATATTCTGACGGTAAATCCTAACTTTATGTTACAGGTAACAACTGATTAAAGTGTAAAGTTTTTCATATATTTATAAATCAATTTAATCGAACGATTCAAGTATTATCACTAACTGGTTGATTTTTGACTTAGAAATCACCAAACTTATTTTAGTTATCACAAATAATATAATTCAAGTAGATATAACACTGTAAAACAAGATAATGCTTAGTCATAATAAAACAAAGTTACTGAAATTCGAACGATGCTTACTCTGTGGGAAATTAATTTTTCAGGATGTAAAATTGTATTTCGGTGTACACTTGTCACCCTTATTGTCAAACAAATAAAAAACTTAGTTCTAATAGTCTAATGGAAAACCTACTGTCAGCTTCAATAAAGTAACACCTCATAAATCTTGTTACTATAGTAACCTCTTTTCATATGACAATATTAAACGGCTATGTTACGAGAGATGTTTGTTAGCGTTAGATTCCAACGGAGGAAGATTTTTGAGACAAGGAACGGTCTATGGGAAACAAACTTTCTGTCACTTTATTATCTAGGATAGCCATTGTAAACAGAATGGCCCTTCAATTAAATACATGTGCAGCATGAAAGAAAATTGGCAGCGGTTAACAACGTCTACATGGTATTTCTCTAAACGTCCTATATGTAATAAGTCAGGGAAGCTATTGGTTGCGGATGTCGACCCTTCGCTCATGTTCATCTAATGAATGGTAATGTTTAGTGTCACCAGATGGTCAATGACTCTTAGCCATGATTTGCTATATAAATATGATGAAAGTAACATCGAAACTCCGATTCGACTAAGTACTGTGTTGTAAACAAAACTTACCGTTAAGCTGGAATTTCTGATATATATAACTTACAAACTTTGGTCTAATGGTAAATTTTGATTGTGTTAACACCTCGCTGGAAAACTTGGTATTATCACTAGCATCAATTTAAAAATGCCGTCAACACGGTTTCAAACAGGCATAACTTCTTTAAGATATCTTACTGAGCAGTCCATTTAAATAGAAATTATACTTAATATGATAAACTTAGTTATGTTTTAGTTAGTTAAACTTTTTACTTCCGTCATATCATCACATGATTCCACATATTGGTTATTTCCTTTTAGTTTTCTGTATTTTCATTTTTTCTTTGGTAGAACATTTATTGGAAAAACGGTCGCACTTCTTTCAAAGTTATAGAGTTCTTTTACTGATATTACATGTCACTAAATAAGTAATTTGTAAGTACTTAAACTGTCATTACTACATTTATCAGTTAAAAATTCTATCACAATCATAATGCACAATTATCTACAATATTACACTCATTACTTCTGTACTATTTTCATTGAGCTTAGTTAATTTTTTTAAGGTTTCAACCACCGGGATAACGACAGTATTATTATTCAAACAGTTTACATGAGAAAGCAAGCACATAACCAATTATGTAAGCCAAATTAAGAAGAGTAAACAAATTCAAAATTCCAACATCCGTAGCATTCCCGTCGATAGTTGTTCAACTCCGAAATTCAACTTACCTCTGTAATCGAAACAAAAAACGTGATAGCCAAGAGATGACAATAGTTTATAAATGTTTACCCTCCAAGGAATAGCTCTTGATTTAGAATTGCCATGGAAATAAATAAATACAGGCAAATCATTAGGCAATGAATTCATTATCTCTTCATAACTCCGTGAATCGGTAGCACTAATTTCTTCATTATTCGATGGAAGAATATGCCTAGTGACATTAAGAAACCCAAAAAAGATGCATCATACAGAATAAATAGCATCAGGTGATACGAATCATATTAAAATGGAAAATTATTTCGTTATGTTTATCAAATTTCTATAGTACTAACAAGTAATCAATGGTGAACAAAACTAAACTAGCATTTAGACTTGAGCTTTTTTACTATAATGTAATTAAATATTGATTATAAAATAACACAGAGCAATTGGAAGAAAAAGAATTGTAATAATCAAAATAATTACTCAAAAATCAACCAGTTGCTACGTTGCATAATATATAAGAAGAAATTTGATGAGAGGTCATTATTATAATAGTTGTGTAAAAATCACGGGACGAATGTTGAGAATAAGTAAAATACAAAAGTAGAAAAAACTCAAAAATAGTTTAAATATTTTTAAAAGAGAGAGTTTCATCAAAGTTCTGATACAAACTCACTCCTATACTGATGGCCAAGGTTGCGAGAACGGTTGTACAAACTTCTTTTGGATGCAATGATTTGGTTTGTGAAAATGGATTCCAATACCTTCAGCAATGTGTAAAAAACGAGTTCGTAAAACATTTGGTAAATTTGATGGAACATGATGGATAACCTTAAAAGTTTTGTTCAATTCTACTTGATGACCTGTGTCCACCAACTGAGCGGAAATATAAATTAAGGCAATATCGAGGCATACGCACAGTGTGCACATATGCCAATAAGAGACTGATCAATTTCAGTCCTAAAACATCAATGGGAAGATTCAAGTAAAACAATTTCAAGTGAATTATAACTTTCTTGGTTGAGAAAAGGATAGGTAAGAGTGACTAAGAATTTGTACAACCACTCTCACTACCTTGGCCATCAGTATAGGAGTGAGTTTGTATCAAAACTTTGATGAAACTCTCTCTTTTAAAAATATTTAAACTATTTTTGAGTTTTTTCTACTTTTGTATTTTACTTATTCTCAACATTCGTCCGTGATTTTTACACAACTATTATAATAATGACCTCTCATCAAATTTCTTCTTATATATTATGCAACGTAGCAACTGGTTGATTTTTGAGTAATTATTTTGATTATTACAATTCTTTTCTTCCAATTGCTCCATGTTATTTTATAATCGATATTCCATTATATGATTATTATGCAACGTAACTACTCTGTGAGTATTATTTCATTGTTGTAATTTTTCCCATCACATAATTTCCTGTTTTTTAATATCATGTTGAACACACCTCAATACAATTTGATTTAATAATATATCAGTAGTCACGATATCGGTAACTAATTAGCACTAGAATTAGCTTATTAGTATTTTTGTCTTGATATGCGATCAGTTATTTTCTTTATCCCAACTGATCTGGCGGTTATAGGATTTATAACAAACATCGTGACAATATATATAATTAAGAATAATCTTAAAATGATTTTTTTACTTTACGATATGAAGAAATTATACCCAAAACTCAGCGATTAAATGACTATAGATTTAACCACTGAACTTTGACGAAGTATGCAATATTTTTAGAGTTATATCCTACATTTCAACAAAACCTTATCATCACATATGGACATTGTCAAAGCACGATCTTGAAGCCTAAGTATTTTCAAAGTGATCAAGTGGATGATTTAGTCATTTTTAACAGGAGGTAAACCGTTTGATTAATTTATAAATATACTTAATTACTAATTACAAAGCTTGTTTGGGTTTCATTTAACTAAAATAATTTTAGCAGGACAGTGATCACAACATAATTCCATGGAACAGGAAGACTAAAATAATAATATATACGCTAAGTTATGGCATCGAAGGACTTTTTATGTTGTTGTGTTCAGTACCATATAATTGAACTACAAAGTTATCAGTAAACTAGCTTTAAACATTAAGTATACTGACAAATTACGTGAGTGTTCGTGGATTAATGAAAATAATCGATGAGGACACCATAACCTTTACAACAACAACAGTGAACATAACCTGTCAAGCATATACTCAAATACATTTTTAGCTAAATGGAATTTTCAGTTACTAACCAACCGTACAATATTCCTACTTCACATAAGTCATTTAACGATGACCGACTCAACTTCATCTACTCACTCTACGTCTAGTGCTTTACACATCACAATAAAGTTTACACAGTTCTAACATTATGATTATTGTCTAGCTTAATTGGTAGTAAAGATAAGTGATAGTTGTAGAAAAAATTAACTAAAAGGTTTAAGATTAAATCTTCAACGGTCGTAGAGGTCCAGTCCTCATAGACAGTAGATTATAGACATAGACTTTGTGAGCAGACATAAAAGGTTTTCATAGTTTTGAAATCACGAACTGATCTTAGCCGTAACTAGTAAAGTCCAACCATATCGGGTGTAAGGCAATTACCCGCCTCATTCAATAAAAGGTGATCAAGGAATACCGTGAACTGAATAAAGTTAGATAATAATACGGACCAGTGGTTTAGAGACCAGGCGGTCGTTCAGCACCGAAGATTTTGGATTCGATTCCTGGATGAGGGCTCATAGATGCGAACTGCTAAGGTGTCCCATACTAGTGTGAGACGGCAGTCCAGTACTCCCAGATTTTCAATGAGGGTTTAACTAAGATTAGTTTGTGATTTGGAGTCTGTGAATATTACGTTCTCTCTACAAATTCCTGGGCTGTAACACATGGTAGCAAAATAATTTTAACATCAAGTCATTCAATCGTTTTTATAGGCATCAATGCTAAGGTTGGATTTACTAATTTCAAATAAATTGAGCATTTGGTACAATGTTAATAATAAATATATTTTGTTATATCCCAATGAGTAAAAAACTCTTATTCCTAACGTTTTGTGACTTAATGTAAGCCACTTTTTCAGAGTAAATAAATAACCAAATTAAGTTAACACAAGTTGAAATAGTATTATTTAATTTAATCGTTATTTATTTACTCTGAAGAGGTGGCTTAAACTAAGTCATGAAACGCCAGAAATACAATTTTCGCACTTATTGGGATATAACAAAATATATATTCATTGAGTCGGTTTGTTGATAAATAACCAATTTACAAGTACTAAGTCAACTAACTTTAAAACTATCTAATAGTTCAACCACGTCGTAAAATGTTTCATTGAATGAACACTTCTGTAAATAAAATTTCTCTCTACCAATGATAGACTGAAGTTCTATAGTATATTAATAACTCTTTATCTCTTCAAGTTTGATGTGATCAAGATTGTAAGTCAACAGGTGTGCTTTCGTTTTAGTCTTCTTCAAAAACCTGGTAATTAATAGCATCTTACTACTTTATTTTGTGTTTATCGGTACAGCTCTAAAGTTAACAAAATATACTTGACACATAATACTTCTTTTTGGTCCATCTCATTGTCTACAGACACACAGGAGAAATATAACTGCCAATTATGGTTAATCTGTACTTAAACGAAATATCAATTTTCATCATACATGCGAAATTTGCACAACATGGAAACGCTGAACGATGGTATTTTCGTGTGTTAAAACAGTAAGGTGCAAAAATGAGGAACTTTCAACTACATGGTTTTCGAAAATGTATCCTTTTAACTAAGTATATAGTTACACCACAAGAACTGTACCAATTCAAACTGTATCATTCAAGTAGAATGCGACTTACCATACTCCTAACAGAGCTTTGTCATCTAGAGAAGCGATGTAGAAATTGTGGCCATGCCCACTAGGGATGTCCACAGATTCAAAGTGTGTATAAACTCGGGAACCAAAGCTAGGTCCACCTGCATCAAAAACAAGTTCAGAATCACTTCAGGTTTACTAAAACGGTACAAACAAACACGAAAGATATCACAAGGCCGTATATTACCCATTCTGAAATCATTTAAAGCGAATGTACGAAGTTAACACCTACTATGGACATCCTGGGCTTAGACAACCAGTCTGAAAATTAAAAACAGTACTACACAGTGCAGCTAGTTATTTTCACACAATCTCATCAACGTATTAAAAATAATTATTGAAAATCTCCAAATTATGGACTATGAAATTAATTTCAGAAATTACTAATGGGTGGACTAAATTATTTCATAAATGTATGGTTGAATATTGTTTAAGCTTTGGAGATTGAAACCAAGTTAGTTGAAGATCTCGTAAAGTACTAGCGTCAAACCTATTTCAAGTCATGCAGTTCATACATTAATACTGGGTTACGTATAAAAAAATCAACCTAAAACATCCTTAATATGAAGTATTTCACAAAATTAATTACATTTATTCTTTTGTATTCTCCTCTACCTCAAGATACAAAACACTGGGACGATTATTTTAGAAAGTATATCAGGAGAATCAATACATCTATTCATTAGAGAAACAGATAATTCTGACGATACGCATGTGTTTAGGTGTTCAGAAACAAGCTCACAACTTGGTAGCTTCATGTTCCTTTTTTGGTTGTTATATTAGGTACGTATAAGTATATGAAAGTTTATTCGATAATTAAATGCATCCTATTTAGTTGTTAAACTTCTCCAAGAAATGTTCAATCATTTCTCATTGAACACCGTCTAAGTCACGAAAAAACACCAGCAAATCAATAACTAGTAAAAACGATGAAATAGTATCACAATCATTTCTCAACCGACTAAATTTGCTAAGAAACCTAACCTGTCTAAATTATAGAAATTTGACAAACGCCCCATGATAGTGAGTACAAAAAACTCCGATACAACTTAATTTGACCTCAAATAGAACACTAAGATCAACTTCAGGAGGCATGTCTAGACATCTGTAAAACCTGCAATGGTACGGGATATTTTAATTATTTGGCTAATTCAACCATCTTAACACACGTTAGTCCGTTAACATATTTACCACTGTCAAGTAAACTAGAAGTCAAAACCGAATTTCTTTAGAAAATTCAATGATACAAACTAGATTTTATGACTAGCTTAGCATCATGCAAAATACTAAACCTAATTGGAATCCAAAGCTCCTTTAATTTTTCCAAATAGTTCAACTCATTTCAACGAAAGCTAGCTGTCCGTACACAACCCTTTAGATTTGAGGAAGAATACGGAATAACCTCGCAAATGTTTAGCTAATCAGGTGAATAAACGCCCTACCCATTGCCTAAACGAGATTAACAATTCCCAACCTCATTGACTAATAATAGTCTTTAAATTACTGGGACCTACACAGAAAATGATTCAATGCTGCTTGATATGTGCTTGTTACGGCTTCGATGATTAATTAATTTCTGATGACTGAAACCTGCAGAAAGTCTCCCCACAGGACGATGATTTCCGATATAATATCAAATAATTTTCACCTAGAATCACGATTAGATAACCATTCCCGGGCATTTAGCACTCACCAGTGTGAGAAGACTTACAAAGCAGTCCAGGGATAAGAAATGTAAACTTTTATAGAAATCGTCTTATGAAGTCCTGTTTTCTCTGCAAGTCAAGCTATGATAGTGTTCCATGAGCAATGACACTCATCAACTACAAAAATATCAAGCAACACAATTACTAAGGCAAATAAAAGCAAAGTATAGATAAACAATATTAAGTTTCAAACTTTATGCTATCAGCACCTGTCTTCGCAAATTTACTTGACCCTACATGCGCTCATCCAATCCTACAAAAATGTCGACTTGGACAAATCCCTAAGTCAAGAGAAGCCAATATATGTGGTGCTACACGGCCCTAAAACCCTACAAATTCGCTCCTTTTTGAATCTTAAACTTTAATTTCCATTGATTCATTGGTACTTTTTTAGGAACAATCGGTTCCCTGTAGCTAAAGTAGGTTCAACCGACCAAACCAGGAGTCGAATATTCTATTTACGACTCAAACACGATTACATACAATGGTACGTAAGAATTTATCAGTCAGAAATCCTCATTAACAGTCATTTTCTTGATGAACTAATGAAATTTGTACCGACGCTTATTTACAACAAGTGGTAGCTACAGAAATGACTTACTATGTGTTTTAAAAACTAGTCGCCGACAAAGAGCAGGAAACTTCTCTACAACCAACGGTAATGCTATGTACAAGATCAGAGCCAAGTGCACTAAAAATGCTGACACCCATAACAGAATCATTACAGGCGCCTGACAAATAGTTACTTTCGCAATCTCGTAACGCCTTATTAAATTAGCACAGTTAAACAAAGACCACCAAGCCTTGCCACGAGTAGTTCATCGATATCACCTAGTCAAAGCTTCTTACTTTTTCACTTCCACTTTGAACCACTGAAATGACCGTGACACGGAAACGTCAACCATCTTGCGTATTGATACCTAGTTGATGACTCTTCGAAACTGCAAATGAAGGACTCTTCAACGCCTTTAATCGCAAACTTAATTACTATACCATCTATAAGAACGGAGCTGATGATAACATGAGCACTGTCTGCCATAATGTCCCTTACTTAATTATGTTGACTTTCTCCACTTCAAAACCGAACAACCCTTGATAATTAACGACCACAACGCACTTTATAAAACAGTGAGAGTTACGAAATACTCATTTCTGACTTCTGTTTGGATTAAGTTTGAGATTCCCGATTAGATGAGTTCTATAGGTTCGGACTACTAATGGTGGACATTTGCAATCGTACATCCTCTCCGAACCTTCTGGGTGATTTCAGTTTCAGGATTTGTACCATATAAAATCAATTAGGTATAACTATATGGGATATTGAAGGTAGCCCTTGCAACTGAGTTTAAGCAGCCTTTTTTATGACATCAGAAAGACTAACTGCCGAACTGTCTATGGATGTATTCATCGCCGATTAGAAATCGTGACCGTGCTTAATTTAGCTTGATAAATACTGAAAGAAATTACTCTAAGTATTAGTTCTCGGACACTCTCCGGGCTACTGAATAATGATAATAAGTTATGATGTGAAACATGGTGCAGAACACACCCTAGTTCACACGTATGACTAAGTTAATACACATTTCTAAAATATAAGACGAAAATATATATTTTTATACAAGGATATCGGTGAAATTCATTGCCTGACAACCCTATTTTCCGTAGCTTTCTTCTAATCGCGGATCTCGAACCTAGTCAAGTCAGAAGTCAAAAATGAATGAGTTGTCTTTGTATTGAAAAGCGTTCGATTTGAACTCACTAGTAGTTGCAAGGAATACGTAGCACCGCATATACACTGGTAATCTGGTGTTAAAATGTAAAAGAATGCCTTCAGTTAGGGTGTATCCAGCAAAAGAAGAGCATGAATTATAAGCAACGTTTATTAAAACAGCTTTAAATCAGTGAATAGAAAGGATTGAGCGCGGTTGTTTTACGGCGCGACACTAAGTGTTTGACCATTGACTCAGTAGACATAGCACTGTCTTTAGTATATAAAACTCTACCAAACATAAAAATGCTGGAATTATTATATTACTGCCAGTGTGGGAAATAGTGTTTTCTCTTTAAATAGCCAGATAAGACGATCTTGGCAGTAAAAACTCTGATTGCTTGCTCTCATCAAGTTGAAAGAGCCATTGCTACTGTCTGGTTGAAAAGTAGGTTTGAGAGCTATTGCAGTAAAATGAATTCAGAATTGTCACATCAAACAAGTGTATCATAGGCCAAAGTAATGGTAAGATGTTGAGACCTTAATAACAGCCGTGATTGTCTTGAAGCGAACCGTCAGTGAATAACGAACAAATGTTTGAGACTACGTTAAGTTCTGGTAGTTGTATTGTAAACTAAGTTTTGACTCCCAAATGCCTGTAGTCTTCAGTCTCGGAACAACATCGTCTCATTGTCCTATAGCTTGGTTTCTGTGGTTTGTGGGCTTAATTGCTTCTAGTCAGTTACTTTGAGTAACATGTCTGCTCAAATTAAACAATAACTACTACATCTCTTTGGTTCAGTGTAATTGATTGTCGTATAATTCAGTTCAGTCAATGTAAAAAAAACAGTACTTGGTGGAAGCAATGAAGCGCATAAGTCTAGTAACCACATTTGCCTTATTTTTCATTTCACTTAGTGTGTTTATGAGTCGAAATCAGAAAGCAATGAAGAGGAGATTCTGTATGCACAAAAGTGTAGGTGTCTCGCGGAAGCTGAATTTGAGAGCTAAGAACTTGTGTAGACCCATAGTAATAGCTCATTCTTTGCTGAAAACAAAAGAGCAACTATAGCGGCACCCATACCAGCCTGCTATAGATGAGGATATCTACCCAGATCAGTCCACTTGCAAATACAAAAAGGTATCTTGAGTGCTGCTGTTGTCGTGCGCCATAATATGGAGTTTAGTTTGGAAAAAGTCATAAGTAAGTTTGATGTGTGTTTGTAGTCTATACGCCTGGCTCTGACCGTATTTCAAAATCACTGCTATTAGACAATTTCCATAGCTTTAACCTCGACATCTGGATATGTTATTATTTCCCTGGAAAAGAGCAACATACTGCACTAGAAGAGGAGCTTTATACGTCATAATCCAATACAATTGAATTCGGATAGACATAAAAATATTTTTAGCCGATGGCACTCTTATTTCATCAGACACTAACTCTCACTGTACTTCATTCCGTAGAAGGAGACATAAATACTTTAGAATACATAAATGGAAGCAAAATAATGCAAGCTGTAGAAGACGGTGTTTAGCATATATTATGCCTTCAACAGGTTGTATGAGCTGATCTAAACTTTAAATTCTATTCATGAAGATGTTACTAAATCTGTGTTGATTGGGGGTATTTGAATTGTAGTACAAACAAGGAATTCCATAAATAACGCACGAACGAGCATATTGTATTTGAATTCTAAATCACATTCATCAAGTACAAAGGAATCATTAGTCCATACAAACACCACAAAATCACAGTTGCATAAATTTCTCCTTGCTATAAAACATTTAAATTAGTACATTTATTTGCTTGTTTTACACACATAAGTATATATCCTTACTTTAATTTCACAATCACCTCAACAATTTATACGCTACTAGTTTTACCCTTTAGTTTCAGAATATTAAAGACAGTTTTGCATTATCAATGTGAAGGTTGTAAGTGGAATGTCGATGTAAATGGCTATTTGATATTCATTGATAGATGAAACTGTTCTCGAATAAACTTGTATATCCGATCCTGTTTCGATCTATCAGGTTAACTGTCGTAAGAAATTCGAGAAGTATGAACTTCTTGGCATTCAGTTCACATGTCACAACTGTCACTTAAAAGTAGCGCAAGCATATTTGCTTTTCTTTCCGTTGACATTATACTCAGATGTATGTAAAGGAGCCAGGTTTCCGTGCATATTGCCAACCGAGACAGATCAGTGCACTCCTAGCCTTCTCACGACCTATGCCAGCCATCATGTTCTATCATGATTTTCGGTGAGTGGTGATGCATCATGTGTTTCCTAAACATCCCTTTCGGTAAAAATGCCATCTTTGCAGAGACTAAGGGTATGGTCTCACAGATGCTGGCCTTAATATCCTATAATGTTAAAGCAAATCTTCGATACATGTATGATGCTATACTAATGACTCAAGGATACTGTATATTGTTGTAGGGCCAGTGAAATGTCACTGAACCCTAGCCAAATCATCCGGCAGTTGGACCACTGAATGTCGAACAGATCGTCGCTCTCTGCCAAGGTCATGTACAACCAACGCGCATTAGTTAATGGTATGCCATGGACTGGCCCATGCGGCAGTGGTCTTACTTTCGCTTGTATCTACTTTAACTAATATATTTCCGTAATAACGTCCTTTGTGTTGTACAGTCTTCAAAGCATCTATAGTACCTTGTCACGTCAATGGGGGTAGTCCGCGTAAGGTGCTGACCACGTGGTGTGACTTCGACGTTAGTTGGTTGGTCACACCATTCACGTCTAACTCGAGTAGGCCTCCAATCATTTCGACATAGATCATCTACGTTGGTGATCTACACTGGTGAGCCCGACTGATTCCTTACACTAATATATATTAGTGTAAGGAATCAGGATTTGCACCTAAATGTTAGGAATTATGAATTAAATTTGTTTTCATCACAATGTCACGTCATTTATAGCGCCATAATGTTATATTAACCCAACAATTGAATGAATTTTGAGCCAAAATGCGAGATCTGTTACCTTAAGCCTTTGAGCAAATCGTGTGTGACCTTGAGAAATTTCAGTCAACTAGAAAGCAGTCCATATAAAGTAAAAATAATTAAATTCAATTAAAAACATCAGAGGGAATAATATTCTTTAACATGGTTTAAAAACTTTTCAGTGTCAGAAAGAGGCTCTGCAGTTCTGAAATCGTAATGTGTATTATGCTGGAACTCATCCATGTGACTCCATAATCTCAGTCTTCAGTAATAAGAATAGGAGGTCTATCGACCTATATTAATCCTTGCAGTTTGTAATACTGTGGAGGTCCAACCTCGTTTTGAATATATTAACAGACGGTGCTGATATAACGTGTTCCGGTACAGAATTCCAGTAATTCACTACTCGGTGCGAGAAACGGAACTCCAGACGTAAACGGTTTGATCTCGATTTTTGATTTTTCTTCGAATGTCCTCTCAAATGATCAGTCCTAGATAGAAGTAAAAGATAAGACATGTTAATATCAAGGTCATCGTTCCGTATACGATAAGCCAATATTAGGTCACCCCGTACTCTACGGTAAGATAACGGAAATAAGTTAAGGTGTCTCAGTCTGTCTTCATAAGATAGGTCAGATAGACGTTGTACCATCTTAGTACCTCGTCGTTGGATTCTTCCCAGCATCTCTGCTTCATACTTGAAACAAGGACTCGCTGCTTGAATCCCATATTCTAAATGTGGTCGCACATAAATCGGGTATAGTAATCTAAACATTTCATCATCTAAATACTGGAAAGACCTACGAATTGACCATAATACCCTATAGCCTTTCGCAGCAGCAGCCTTACAGTGACTATTAGTTTTGAGATCACTGCTTAATATGACTCCTAAATCGTTATAGTTTCTTACATTGGGTAGCACGAATCCACATAGTGTATAGTGATACGATTCATCATAGCTATTTATTTGGATCACTACACTCTTATTAGGATTTACTTCTAATGATCACCTGTCCAACCGTGCCATCAATGAGCTAAGATCACTCTGCAATACTATCCTATCCGACATACTTTGTATGGGTCTCCAAATTTTTATGTCATCAGCGGAGA